TCCTCCAGCACCACCAGCTGGCCGCCTTTGGTGGACACACGTTATTGAATATTTATTGTTAGGCATATGGCCTATTAGTCTTGCTGCAACAGTTGCACCGCCCTAAGGATGGCCCTGATGGTATGGTACCCACTGTTCTGCCATCTAACTTAATTCAAGGTTTTAATCAAGTCCATGCCTAATAGAGCTGAACCTGCCTGAATGATGTAGAATGTAGCTAAAGTGGTCACATCTCCTAGCCTCACAGAAGCAGACATTCAATTCAATTCAATTCAATTTGAATTGAACGCAATTTGCGTAGCTGTAATTATAGGCGGGGATTATGGTAATCATTGGAATTCATTTACGAATCATTGGAATTCATTAACATACACATGTTTAACTATCAAATCGGACGTTTACGAAGCGTTTGTGAATCCGGAGGAGAGTTTTTGGGAAGGTCCGTTTTATACGCGCAAATTACTCAGAATTTACTCCTATATTTACGAATGCAATCTCCACCCCCTAGATGTGGATCCAACCACGCCCCCTGGATCTTGTGTTCTGCAGTGAGGGGCTACTGGGGGCCGGTGCAGCTGCAACAGTTGCACCGCCCTAAGGATGGCCCTGATGGTATGGTACCCACTGTTCTGCCATCTAACTTAATTCAAGGTTTTAATCAAGTCCATGCCTAATAGAGCTGAACCTGCCTGAATGATGTAGAATGTAGCTAAAGTGGTCACATCTCCTAGCCTCACAGAAGCAGACATTCAATTCAATTCAATTCAATTTGAATTGAATTAAAGTGGTCACATCTCCTAGCATCACGGAAGCAGACATGGAACCTAACACTAGAATGTTGTCTTTTAAATAGGTAATTAGACAAGCTTTTGGCACAGTTGTTTTGGCAAAACAGACACAGACAATCTGGTGTCCACTATTAATTCAACATACTTTGTATTTCCAAGTGGTGCTTCTATCTGGACTTTACAACAAATCTTGTCAGACATACGTCACGGGCCATCCTTAGGGGGGTGCAACTGGTGCGGTCGCACCGGGCCCCGCGGTGAATGGGCCGAATGGGAGATCCATGCAGAGTCTAATGCCTCCTTGTTTCTTTTGAGTTACCACTATGGGTGATACCCAAGGCTATGCATCAATCTTTTCAATAACTCCAGCTTGCAGCAGCTAAAGTTCACTGGACAGCTAATCTTGTACACACAATTGGATGTGTCTAAGCCGCACCGGTAGAACATCAGGATTCACTTGCACTACATGAACAAATCCATTCACACATCAGATTGTTACAAGTGATTCTATCTCCGTTTTGCACACTGATGTAGGTGGTATGCAGGGCTGTCCCATGCCGGGGGTGGGGTTTTGAACCAGTGTGGGGCCATCCTTAGGGGGGTGCAACTGGTGCGGTCGCACCGGGCCCCGCGGTGAATGAGCCGAATGGGCCCCCTCCTGGAACGCGATCGCAAACGGACCGAGGGGGGCCCCGCTCCCTACCACGCACCGGGCCCTGCGTCAGCTGAGGACGGCCCTGCATATAACAGATAGTAAACTCAGGAACCACAAGTTCACATACCTATTTTAGTCATGGATTTGTAAACTTTTGCGAAGTCTCCCTTTTTCTCCAAATAAATAACAGGTCACAGATGCAACAGGACAATTTTTGCATATGCAAGATGGTATTGTGAACCACACCTAATGCATAACTGGTGGAGGCTTTCTTGGTTGTTTTACAGAGTGAAATTTCTGCTGAATTGGGCCTGTGGATTGCATGGACCAAAACTTTTGCAAAGCTTGTTTTTGTATTACCTTAAGAGTTCCCCCTATACTGGACACAATCAGTATATTCCCTCAGGGGGTTCTCTGTCATTCACATCAACAGAACTGGGTGATCATTTCCAAATGAACCCCCCTTGCCTCTGAAATTCATCAAATTTGTAGTGCCTCACATAAGCACATCTAATAGTTGTCCAATCCAAATCCATGCAAAAACAAACAAACAAAATATATAAATAAATAAAAGTGTGTATGCCTTTCTGGTATACTCTTTTATTGATTCATGGCTGTCAGCTTAGTTGAAATGAATAACAAAACCAGAAATACAGGAAAATAAATTCTTTATCAGAGGAAATAGTATGCTTCTCATCATGATTCACATGAGACATTAATTCATGAAGCTTATGTCGTCAACTTATTTTGCAGTCATAGAAGATGTCTAGTCAAGTCTGTGGCAACACCATTTTCTTTATTCAGAGTACGATGTGTCAACATCCAGCATGACAAATATTGTACAAATTTCACAATTTAAAAATGAAAAATCACTGTAACTTGTGATCTCACACATTTATAGTAAAATTAAAACAAATTCATGCTGTATCGTACAAAAATAAATCAAACTCCAGTTCCACATAGAGCACGATAGTTTATACAAAATCCTGTCTTCATTGATGATTAAACAAATCAACCTCGAAATGAAGAATTTCAACTCATGAATTCACAATAATTCATATGAAAAATCAGCATTCGAATATGTGACTCCTTTCATCTTACGCCGTAAGTAGTATGCACCAACAGTAAATGAGCAGCATGTTTGTGCTTAAATTCCCATTGTACCGATGACGATAATCGAGTCAAAAACTGATACTAGCTATTTCTCTATCGAAAGCATTACTATATTGGCAAAAAGCTGCAGATGTGATGCTGTGCATGAATGATGGAGCCCTAAAAAGGACTGATTAGTACAATGGACGAGATCCAGTGAAGTACAAGCACCTTTGCATTAGCTCTCAATAAGGTATTAACAAGGCTGCTACAGCTAATAGTACAATGGAAATTAGGGGTGCACACACCCCCGAACTCTACCGCTGACAACCGAACCCATTGCAGTGGGAGATTTTTTTTCTTAAAACGCTTTATTTCAGCTGACTACTCTTTAATGATTTTGTACAGTGATTAGACAAAGTGCTGCTTGGGATTATTTTGTATGATATAGAACATACTCAACGAACTAGCATTGTTATTTAAAAATGCACAATATTTCTCGTAAAGATATTGTCCTCATTAATATTTCAAATCCCTGTAATCTCTGATCTCCTCAAACCACTGAACGCCTGTCATCATGCCTTCCTCGTGCCAAAGAGACACCTGGAGATTGCACATCGACCGAAGGTGGGATAAGTGCAAATAGTCTTCTGGCACAAAAGTGGGGGGGCAAAAACCCTGTAGGTCCCGTTTTCATTGTCTATATTCTTTACAGATACCTTCTGCTTTAGTTTCCATACTGTACACACATCCAAGCATGGAAACAAATGTGTCCCAGGAACAAAATGAAACTCATAGAGCATTGTACGTCTCTAAACCTAATTTTCACCTTTCCGTGCCTTTAAAACATTTGTATTAAAAGATTTATATAAAAATCAATCATTTACATATAGCAAAAAGATTTTGTAGCTTCCACTGTTTACAAACATGAAATTGCATATACCCACCACATAGATTGCATCTCTTTTTTTATACACATGGTTAAGTCAAATATTGCTGAAACAGTTCCATTCTGGCTACTGTTATTTCTAGAAGAGACCAAATCACGACGTGAGGTTTAGAGCCGCTATTGCTGTTACATTGATGCAGATTAAATGAGGAAGCCACAAATAATCAAAGCATTTCCTTTTGCATTTTGAAGCAGTAACAGGTTCTCCACCATAAGCTTTCATTTCTATGATCTATGATGATTTTTTTACACCAACCCTTTTTTCCACATCATTGATAGTTGATATTAAAGTAATTCTTCACCCAAAAATGAACATTTGCTGAAAATGTACCCACCTTTAGGCCTTCCAAGATGTTAGATGAGCTTGTTTGTTAACCTGAACAGATTTGGAGAAATGTGTCATTTCATCACTCTCTCACCAATGGATGCTCTGCAGTGAATGGGGGCCGTCAGAATGAGAGTCTAAACAGCTGATAAAAACATCACAGTAATCCACAAATTATCCATACCACTCCATCTTGTGAAGCAAAAAGATCCATGTTTTTAGGAAACAAATAAAAGTGCCTCTCCTTTTGTTGTCTCGCATCGAAATCCACCCACATATTTGTTTAGAACTGTGGGTTTAGAATTATTGCTTATATGGCTTGTAAATGGTGCTGCATATTTCTCTCATGATTCAGACAAGCTGACTTTTTCTGTCTTACAAACACGCAGACTTTAGCTTCACTAGATGTTAACTGATGGACTGGTGTGGATTACTTGTGGATTGTGATGTTTTTTATGAGGACTCTTATTCTGACGGCACCCATTCACTGCAGAGCATCCATTGGTGAGCAAGTGATGTAATGCTACATTTCTCCAAATCTGACGAAGAAATAAACTCATCTACATCTTGGATGTCTGAGGATGAGTACATTTTCAGCAAATTTTCATTTTTGGGGGAAACTATTCCTTTAATGATAAACAGAAACTCTTGCCATTTCTTTAAGATGAGCAGAAATGTTTAGTGGCTACCTTTTTCCAGTTTGTGACACTCTTTCAGCAAGCATCAACCAATGTTCAGTATTGGGTGCATTACTGTTTAAAAATATACACTAAAAAGGTGCTTCAATGAGCAGCCAGAAGGATGAGTCACATTACATTAGCCAATATGAAAGCGTACAAAATGTGAATACTTTCAAAAACTATTTTGCAGATCATTATTTTTTTTTAAAGCAAGGCCAGAAAAATAAACCCAAAGAAAAATCATGTTTAGTCAGCATAACACTTTTTAAAAGAACATGAATGTAACACTGTTTGATCAACTACAACAGCAAAGCATGAGGCATCCCATATGAGTATTATAATGTTTTTTTCTGGAAGTGTCTTCTTTCCTCAGTATTCCTTTGGGTTTCACTTTATTTTGATGGTCCCTTTAACACATTCTGTTGACTATAAGTAGCGTTGCACCTACATGTCTACTAACTCTCATTAGAGTGTTAGTAGAGTATTAGTAGACTGGTAGGGTTAGTTCCTTTGTTTTAGGAACGTTCTGAGATGCTAGACTTGAATGCCTTGTACCGCTTGTTTTATATTTTCTAGCAGGGCCTTGTTCTCTGGACTCTGATAGTGATCTTGATTCGTGTACATGTCCGTTAGCGTGGTCACGTATGCGTCAAAGTTCTGTTCGCTCATCGGCTCCTGTCAAACACAGAGGAAAGATCCTGTCACATAAAATACAGTATGTGGAAGATGATGACAAAACAAGAGTCTGGGTAATACAACTTTGAGAATTAAGTCATACATTCTAATTCTAATTACGTCATAAGTTCTTCAATTTATTGTTATTCCTGTATACAATTCACAGGATGCAAAATTGTAGTAAGAATTCAAATGGATTGAAATTCAAAGAAATGAATGTAACAGTAAATGCAGTTTACTGTCAGGATAAATGGCCAAAAACATATGGGCTATTTGCAGAAACATTCAACGATAACAATCAAGTTAGTTTTCATAATTCACACAGTTTTAAAGCAGCATTATGGAAAATTCTTGCTGTAAATATTACAATCAATATTAAAAGAATTAAAAGAAAATGGCACATATTGAATATCAGGTTTATATCAATTTGTCAAAACTACACTCTAAAAAATGCTGGGTTAAATACAACCCAGTGCTGGGTAAAATAGGGACAAACCCAGCAATTGGGCTGTTTTGACCCAGCGGTTGGGTTACTACCCAGAAGGTTGGGTTAAACATTTAACCCAACCGCTGGGTCAAAACAGCCCAACTGCTGGGTTTGTCCCTATTTTACCCAGCACTGGGTTGTATTTAACCCAGCATTTTTTAGAGTGTATGATGCAAATGTTTTTGTCATAAAACTTTTGTGTGACTTTAATTTCAAATGTAACATTTTCATTGCAATTCAAAATCCGCTGTGTGGATTTAATTCGATTCAAACTGACAGTTGTGAACTGAAAGGAAGCCAGTTCTTAAATGACAAATTTCGCAAACCCTGATATGAATTCTGGAGCTTCAAACAACTTGTTGCAGCCACGATAAAACTTTCATTAAAAGAAACACAATGTAAACATCAACACAGGTAAACATCATTTATTCAATTCAGTCTAAATGGAAATTGCTGGATTTGGTAGCATTCACTAATGGGAAAAATATGTGAAGGACTAACGCTGACTGAATGGTTATTAAAAACTGATTCAGTGAAAAGTCAGTAAGCATGAACAGCAAAATCTATTCAGGTGGACATGAATGAAAGAACAAATGTGACCCTGGACCACAAAACCAGTCTTAAGTGTCTATTTTTCCAAATTGAGATTTATACATCATCTGAAAGCTTTAATAAGCTTTCCATTGATGTATGGTTTGTTATGATAGGACAATATTTGGCTGAGATATAACTATTTGAAAATCTGGAATCTGAGGGTGCAAAAAAAATCGAAATATTGAGAAAATCATCTTTAAAGTTGTCCAAATGAAGTCCTTAGCAATGCATATTAGTAATCAAAAATTAAGTTTTGATATATTTACAGTAGGAAATTTACAAAATATCTTCATGGAACATGATCTTTACTTAATATCCTAATGATTTTTGGCATAAAAGAAAAATCGACAATTTTGACCCATACAATGTATTTTTGGCTATTGCTACAAATATCCCCCAGCGACTTAAGACTGCTTTAGTGCTCCAGGGTCACAAATCATTAATGAATTTCAGCATGACTAACACCAACTGCGCTCAGCCACTTGAAAATTGACTGACATAAACAATATAGTATTCACAGCATACAAATAGTCATATGGAAAGGGTAGGAGTTAAACTGTGGTCTTACTCTCTGATGTAAACAGCTGTTATGTCTAGCCGGAGACTCTTTGTGAAGTGATTTCTAGAGGTAAAAACAAAAGTGTATTAGCTTAAAGCAAATAACATGCTCAATACATACAGGACCTGGCCACTTCTGTCTAAACACCTAAGACACATCTGGAACAGCTTTTTGTTTTGTTTTAGATGTTGCAATGAATAATGTGATGCTATATGATGACATCTGCAAGTTAAAGCAGCAAGCAGACAGTTTTGCATTGACATTTTGTATGTAAAAAGGATAAGCCACTGATTATTCTTATTTGATAAAAGTGGCACAAGTTCAGTGAATTCACCCTTGAATCATACACAAATGGTTAACTATTCAAGTTATAAGCATATACATTTACAACCTATTTTAACCAGGTTGAAAATATTATTTACAATTAAATGAAAATGTATAGTTTCAATGTAAATTAAATGCAGTTATCTTAAATATGTTTTTTGACCCACTCAACTATGAAGTTCATCTTTTATGTCATTTCATAATCATTTCTATTGTCTTGTGCAATTTAGTACACTTCAATTATATTAACTTGAAATGTAATATTTATTAACAAACTAGTTTAAATTATAATCAAGTACTTGTGCTTTAGTATGTTAGTCAAACATACTTTAAATCATGGCAAAAGATGAATAAAATATAATTATTTAAAATATACTTTAAAATACATAACCTTCAATTTGACATTGTTAAGCCATGAAGACTTTATTTTAAGGTGTCCTTGTTACAGTGTAATTATACATTTAAGTACTGAGTAATATTAATTAACTACATGTACTTACTATATGGATAGGGTTTGGCTTAGGGTTACTTGCATGCAATTATGCATAATTAAGTGTTATTATAATAGTAAATACATGTAACGTGTAACAAGGACACATTAAAATAAAGTGTCACCTTGTATTTCTTTAAGTGCACTTAAGTGGCCTTTTATTTCATTAATATTATATTACTTGCAAGTACAGTTTTTTTTAAATTGAATTTTAAGATCTGAAGTACACTACAAGTGCACATTCAATATAATTAAGTACACTTCTTTTTTCACAAGGGATTTAGGTGGGAACATGTGACTTCTTTAAGTTCAGCAGTAAACTTTCCAAATTAAGTGGAAATCGAAAAAAGAGAGAAAAAAGTCACAAATGGCACTGTTTCCTGAGAATAAGCTTGATCTAAATCTTTTAAGAAACAACCAATCAGCATTGTCGAAGAAACTGAACACAAAATGAGTGAGCCATGCAGCTTAAAACCCTATAAACAACAATCAACGCTGTGTGATTAATGCAATAGACATAAAATAATATGAGCCACAGCAACTCAAATATTACCACAAACTCAGCAGAACTGACTATATCAGTTCAGTGGTTTGCCACTGAGTTTGACAAAATATGACAATCGGTGAGCAAGCTATGGAGATTCAAATAAGATTATGACTGAAATTTTTATTGCATAACATTTTTTTATTTCTGTATTTATTTACCAAGTTGAGATGAGATGAATGAAAGTTTTGATTAGAATGTATATGCTTCTAAATCTGCGGGACTGATTTGAAGAACATGTTTTCAAGCTAACTCGTTGCTGAGTAAACCAGCTTAAAACCAGCCTGACCGGGAGATCTGCTAAGACCAGCAAAGCATCTTAGGCTGGTTTATGCAGTTTGTTTAAGCAGAGCTGGTCATATTTAACAACCATCCAATAAATGCACAAATTCAGATTACACCAATTGACTCCTACAATTTTCCACCTATGGACTAGTTTGAAGCATAGACTATTATGCTAAATTTGCTGAATGTACCAAGAACAGCGGCCTCAAGCCGAATAAAGTTCTTTTTCTTTTTCTAAATGAACAGAATAAAGTAATATGCTTCTTTGTCCACGACTTGTCCTCTATCGGTTGGGGATGGTGGCCCTTACCATATGAGGTAGCTGGATATTAGCTAAACTGTTTATCAGTGAATGGTTGAGGCTGGCCAGCTCATGCAGGAGAGATTCATTTTGTTGTTCAATCACCTTGTTTTCTTCCTCTAAGGACTTCAGATTAGACTCCATTGTGGTAATCTGTGGGACATGAATCGGCAGATGTGTTAAATCTATTGTGATAACGTCTTCATAGCATAGCACAATAAATTATTATCTTGTTTGTTTTAAGTAAGACTATATATTGTGTATATTGTATAAGTATATTGTGTATAGTGTATAAGTATATTGTGGGTAGGGGTGCTCCGATTGATCGACTACCGATCGCTATCGGCCGATAATCACTTTGGGATGATTGATCGGCGGTCTCTAAAAAGGCCGATCTCAAAAAAACCGATCTCAAGCTGATGACGCGCCTGACGTGACAGGTTGGCACCATCTCTGTCCGGCACGGGTGAAATAATTGTAATGCTGAGGGTGAGGTACAGTTCATATTTCTTCATTAAATAACTTATAAAGTAGCTAATTTGAAAACTTTCTGTGAGACATAATTTCACAAACCGCGTGAGTGAATCACCGCGCGCGCGTTCTCTTTCTCTCAAAATGCGCAAAGGGCTTCAAATCAAATCACGCTGTAAGCGAGCTGCACGCTGCACAGTTAACACAGGAATTGTCACTTGCACAGTCGAGGCAGTGTCGCATCGTCACTAAAGTTTATAAATTGCATTTCTTTTTAATTCTTGCCAGTGTTTAACCATTCAGCGCTCGCGCGCTCTCCTGAAGACTGAGCGCTCATGCACACTCGCAGCGCACACACATAATTCCAGTTCCAGAGTATTTTTTCTGCGCTCATGTTAACGGATTAAAGTGTTCACACTGCACACGGTTGCGGTCCAGCAGGGCGTTCAGGAGCGATGCGTCTGCAGCAGAGCAGAGATCGTTTCCGCACCGAGTCTATGTTTGCTGCGCTGCAAGTGCTGAATTAAAGTAACAGAGTATTGTTTGCGTAAATATGAACATGGATTGACACGAAAATTTAGTAATTACACACCATAAATGCATATAATTAAAGTCTACTGTGTTTCACAGTCAACATAGGCTATGGCTTTTTGGCTAGGTGTAAAGGAAAAGAGCACTTTTAGATAAAGAAGGCAATAATAGATGGCACACGTGGAGGGAGGAAAACAAAGCTGCAAGTGCTGAATTAAAGTAACAGAGTATTGTTTGCGTAAATATGAACATGGATTGACACGAAAATTTAGTAATTACACACCATAAATGCATATAATTAAAGTCTACTGTGTTTCACAGTCAACATAGGCTATGGCTTTTTGGCTAGGTGTAAAGGAAAAGAGCACTTTTAGATAAAGAAGGCAATAATAGATGGCACACGTGGAGGTAGGAAAACAAAGTTCTTTATGAACTGCAGGATTGCTTGTAATAAAGATTTAAATGCAAAAGAAAAGGCAGTAGAGCTGACTGTTTATGTTAATTGTAAGTTTTAATTTAGAATGTTTGTGATAATGTAAGAAAAGTACACTGTAAAAACATAAATAGTTGAGGAATCTTAAAATAATAAGGCAACTTGATGCAGTAAGAATTTTGAGTTCTCTCAACAATAGTTTTTTAGTTCTGCTCAGTAAAGATACTTTGTTTAGTCCATGTAAATTAGTTTGTTCATGCAATGCTGATTGTCTTATTTTGCTAACAGAAAAATTATTGTCACAGCAGCTGAAAAAACAATTACTGTCGTTGACGTAATTTCTTTTTTTTCTGTTGCCTGGATGAGAAAAAAAATGTGTAAAAAGTCATCACATTATCGAGTTTATGTTTGCTTACGAATGACAAATGTTAATGGGCAACTTAGTCTAATAAGTAGACAACATTGTCTGTGCTTGTAAAACAACTTACAAGACTAATAAGACATCCAGGAAATGGAAGTGAGTGTTTGAACATACTCTAGGCCTCAAAACACTAACCTCAAGAATGGTGACAACCAACAAATGTTAAAAAGATGAGCTCTTTACATCACAGTACAACAAATAACTAGCAATAATGATAAAACAACAACAACAACATTTTTTAAATGAAGTCCGCAAACAGCAAAACAGTAATCCTATAACAGTAACTGCATAATTTATTCATGCTGCAATGCATGCTGGGAACTCACAAAGCCTTAAAATTTCAACAATATGACATTCTTTGGTCAGTCAACTGTGTTTGAGTAGTTGGGGCAACATTTGGGGTAATTTTGTTGGTCTGACAAGGGATTTTAATGTAGTTTCAAGAAAATAGCATTTTTTTAGTATTGGAGACTAGTGCTGGGCGGTATGACCAAAAATTTATATCACGGTATTTTTCAAAATTATACCGGTTTCACGGTACATGACGGTATTTTTTTTTCATGCATGACCGGGTGTTAACCATATTTTCTACTGATTGAGAGGAAATACTGCAGTATATTGACTTAGAATGCCCTATTTTACTGTCATGATGAGTGAATATTGTCAAAAAATACCACACTATATAGTGACTAAACACGACCCCTTTTAATACATGTTAACCAGGAGTCACTCTCATTTATAATCACGGCATCGTCTGATCAAATCAACATGCATCTACACTAAAGAGCGGCTATGTGGTTGTTTTGGCTATATTACTTTTTTGTCTCATGCAGCGTACTGCCTGCGTCTGAGTAACAAAAAAAAAAATTGCATTATATTAATAGACGAACTATGCTCATATTTATAATTCCAAACAATCAGTAAGCGACAGGTGCTTGGAAACGCTGGTTTGTACTCATTTATTGATGAGTCGGCTGTGGTGCGGCCAACTGAATGAGCTGCTTCTCTGCCGCTCACTGCACAGAACAGACGCCGAGAGAGGTGACACTTCTCCGGGAAAGTCAGACCTCGTGTTCGCGGGACAGCACTGGTGAAATCTTCCAACTGAACCATAGCTAAGGTTTATCCAAAAAAAGTTGCTAGGTTTGTCAGTATGAATATTCTATGGAAAAAAAACGCTAAAAGGGTCTGAAAGTTGCTAAATCCAGTGCTAAAGTCGCGCTCGTGTGTGTGAGACGCGGGAGCTGATGGCAGGGGGCGGTGGATATTTGTGGCGGTCAATGTGGATATTGTGGATGAGTTCTTCCGTGTCATCACGTTCTATTAGTTCTACAGCTGCAGTTTCGGAACTTTCATGCTTAGTAACACATACAGCTGTTCCCTCACCACAGTGCAACAGTGAAAAGGGACCCCTTTCAAACAGTGTCGCGTTCCGAACGTTGTGACATACGTTGTGACGTATTTTAAAAATTCATCTTGAGCAACTTAATATATCAATCTAGAAGTAAATGCAAAAGTAAAAAGCATTGAATAATGTGTTTCTTATATTTATTGCGCTTAAACACGTCTATGAAAGATTGAATTACTGTACTGTGTAAAAAAATAATCCAAATGCTGAAAAAGCATTTTAAGTAACAATGTTTGGATTTGAAATCAAACTAATGGATAAATGTTGTGTTTGTAGTAAACAGCCACGGATCAGTTGCAGAGTTGCAGTTGCTTCTGCACCGCTTCTGTACCACACACTGCAAACGGAGTAGGCCTATGTGTGAACCTGGTGTAAAAGGCCGCCTCACATATTCAATTCAATTCAAGTTTATTTGTATAGCGCTTTTCACGATACAAATCGTTGCAAAGCAACTTTACAGCAAATTACAGCTTTACAGCTCACGAAATCAGGCTTGTGCTGTGTGTAAGCTATTGTGCAACAATTGCACGATTGTAAAAACAAAAATGCACTGCATGATCAAACATTTAGGTGAGATAAATATATATTTTTGAAAAATGTCTAAAAAAATGCCCCCCTCCACCCCTCAAATTAAAAATTCCCCTCTCAGAAGAGTCACCTAAGAGGGGAACTCATTTTCAAAAATGAAATTCTGGCCCTGAATAAATGTCTAAAATTGCTGATTGGAGTCTTACTATAATAATTCTGTATGATAAAAAGAAGGCTTTAAAAAGATCGGTATCGGTGTTCGTATCGGCAGATACTGCTTTCTGTGATCGGTGAACGGCCTCAAAAATCCTGATCGGAGCACCCCTAATTGTGGTGTTGAAATGCTTGAAATTAAATGATTTATTAAATGATTAATGGAAAGAAATGTCTCACTCAGTTCACTTTCACACAAATGCTGCATTTATACTGCAAGACCTAATGTTTTTAAAAGAAGACTCCTATGTTCACTAATGCTGCATTTATTTGAATGAAAAAATACAGTAAAACAGTAATTTTATGAAATATTATAACAATTTAAAATAACTGTTTTCTTTGTGGATATATTTATTCCTGTGATGGAATTTTCAGCATCATTACTCCAGTCTTCAGTGTCACATGATCTTCAGAAATCATTCTGATATGCTGATTTGCTGCTCAAGAAACATTTCTGATTATTATCAATGCTGAATACTGTTGTGCTGCTTCATAATTTTGTAGAAACTGATACAGTTTCAATTATCAGAATTATTTGATGAATAGAAAGCTCAAAACAACAGCATTTATTTCAAATAGAAATCTTTTGTAACATTATAAGGGCCAGATTTACTAACAGCTTGCTCCAGCGCAAACCATCTTTTGGCGTTAAAATAGCCTAGTACTGTCAGGATATATGTAAATGAGATGTTGCTTAATTGGCGTGTTGTCAGTAAATCACCTGCTGAAATTTGCACGCCCATCGGCGCTGTTTTGGAATTGCTCTCTTGCGCCAATTTGCCCTGTTTAGTAAATCTGGCCCTCATTGTCACTTTTGATCAACTTAACGCATCCTTGATAAATAAAAGTATTAATTTCCTTAAAAAAAAAAAAAAATCTTACTGACCCAAACTTTTAAACAATAATGAGTATATCACAATTAGGGCTGGGCGATTGTATCTACTAATTCGAATTTAATGTTTTGCCACAATTGTATTTATTTTTTTTTTTTTTTACAAATCGATGTGTCACAATTTTGAAAATAAATATTACTAAATGTTACAATAAGACACTTTGACAATATGCCAATGATAACAGTAAAGAGAAAAGAATGATCTAACCGCATGTCGGTGATTAACCGCTCATGTGTGACGCGCTCTGTGAAGGACCATAAGTATATCGCTAAGTGCCATTAAAAAATAAAAAAATAAAAATCACCAGGCGCCACTTACACAGAATGCGCTTTTGTGTTGACAAAGATGTGACGTGGGCAGTGGAATAGGAAAAAATGCAAGACTATGGTAGTTGAACTTCTTTTAACTTGAGCGCCACATTTTTAGAATGCCGTTTCATGCAAGAAACACGAGCGCAACAAACGCGTCCATGTTTACACAGAAAAAAAAAACAATGGAAAAGCAGCACAATCGAATAAAAAACCTGTAAAGAACTACTGTATGTAAATCGGTAAAGAACTACGGTACCGTACTACATACTACATACTACATACTACAAGTGTATGTCTGATATTTCATGTTTGCATCAGGGTGACAGGCTGAAAGCTGCTGTTTATTGTTTTTACAGAACATTTAGGCCTATAGTTAATAATAGTCTACTTGTGTTATACCTTCAGTCGTTTTGAATTTGAATTACCTTGACTTTTGATAACTTTGTAAAGCATTTTCCTTGAATTATTTCTGAACATATAATATAATTGTACAAGATGTAGTTGTAGATCATGCCTCTTTTCTGTAAAGATATTTAAAAAGTAATTTGTTGACAACTTCATGTTGTGCACTTGGAATAGAATTTTCTTTAACTAAAGGGTTAATAAAGAAAAAGTTACTTGAATCACGTTAAAAATAGCAAAAAAATCGAAACCCAGCCCTAATCACAATATGTATCAACTATTTTCTTTTTAAATAAAGTTGTTACAATAGTACAATTTTGGATACAAGTTAAATTTGACAGTTCTACTTTAGAGAGTTGATGATGTAATGATACTGACATCTCAGACACTTTTTCATTCGTTGTGCATTCAGATAATTTACTTGTCTGCTACAATAATGTTCTTAAATTATTTTCATTTGGGAGCTTTTCTCAGCAAATTATGATATGTGATTGTTTGTGATTCATTTGATTATTTAATCAGCATAACAGTAAAAATTGATGACATTTTTAACAATGCTCATCTCTAATTAATACCCTGGCAAGACGAGCATTTTGAACAGGAAGTGCATTTTACAGCAGCATTACTGTACCATTGAATGCTCATTATACATGTCGTCATAGATACAGTCATAGACCTTGAACAGTTGAATAGTATCACCCTACAGATATATTAATCAATCTTTTAAGATAAATAAATCAATAATAAATCAAAATAAATAAATCATTCAAAATCAATGAATCAATCTTTTGACCCTCCATGATTTCTGTAGGAATTCTCATGCATTCACTAACTTCACCTGAGCGCCATGATTTCAGACCAGACATATTCTACTCAGGGACGGATTTACCTCTTTTAGTGACATAGGAAAAAAAAAATGTGGGCCCCCCTTCCCATTAATAGGCGCGGCAACGTGGCCACATAACCACTTCGGGAGTGCATTATTTCTCTAATAATTTTAACGGCCTGGAGTCACAACTGCACATCAATTGTTCAGATGATTTGTTTCAAGACATTTGACATGTTTCCGTCCTGAAATCTCGTGTGGGTTGAACTAATTTTTTACGCACCTCATCTCAAACGTTCCGTTGCAAATTCCAAAACGTCATTTTAGAGCTAATAACAGAGGCTTGAGCCATCGATATGCAGGCTAACGCAGTTATTAATGCAGTCTAACACAGTTATCAGAGAGAGAGCGAAAGAGAGAGAGAGAGATTAAGTGCGTGTGAATACTTGCGTCTGTGCGTCTCTCAGCAGTGTTCAGCCGCAGCGTCTACTAATAGCGAATCTTTAAGTTGAACTGCTTCAAGAACCTCGCTACTGAGAAATGTCATGTAGCTTTTCAGCTGCAAAACTATTTTATTGATAAATTCGCGGGGCAGCCGCAGCTCTGACAAGAAGTTTCTGTTTGCGTCTCCGCGTGTGTGCGCGAGTGTGTGTCTGTACTGTGTGTGCGACTGAGAGAACGGGAGAAAGAAAGCGTGATTTCCATACATAAAAAAAGGTTGAAGACTTGGAAATAGTTTGTTATTTTTACCCTATTGTTTGTTATATTTATTTGCTCAATGTCTTCTGGGGTTTTGCTTCTTTTACTGTTGTAGATATCCCATAGTATAACAAACATATTATATATCTCTTCATTGTGTTTGGGGCCCCCCCTGGACGAGCAAGCATAGGCACGTGCCTAGAATGCCTATGCATAAATCCAGCCCTGATTCTACTGTATGTCAAACAGCAATGGATACAAGTGTTTAAATTAGAACACCAGATATATAACTAGATGACAATGTAAATATGGACATCTGAGTATGATTCAAGCAAAAAAATTTCCAAATCATGGTCCATGCACTTGAGTAAATAAGAAATGTTTATACTTTACTGGTCAAAAGTTTGGAAAAATTATTTTTCTTTTGAAAGACGCCTCTTCTGCTCACTAAGGCTGCATTTGTATGCTCAAATCACACAGTAAAAATAGCAATATAGTGAAATATTATTACAAAATAACTGATTTCTATTTGTATATATTGTAAAATGTAATTTATTGCTGTGATGCGCAGCTGAATTTTCAGCATCATTACTCCAGTCTTCAGTGTCACATGATCTTCAGAAATCATTCTAATATGCTGATATGCTGCTCAAATATTATTGGTGTTCTATTCTATTCTATTCTATTCTATTCTATTCTATTTTATTGGAAACCAAGCAAAGTTTTTTCAGTATTATTTGATTAATAAGAACTTACTTACACCAAACTTCTAAATAATGGTGTATGAACACTAATGTAACCCTAGTATGAAACAGCTGAATTGTTTTCAACATTGATAATAATCAGAAACACAGCAACTCAGCATATTAGAATGATTTCTGAAGGATCATGTGACACTGAAGACTGGAGTAATGATGCTGAAAAATCATAGCAATAAATTACATTTTAAAACATTTTCAAATAGAAGACAGTTATTTAAAATTGTATTAAAATTTACAATATTACTGTTTTTACTTTTTACATATATATATATATATATATATATGCAGCCTAGGTGAGCATAAGAGACTTTTCCAAAGAGAAAAAAAAAAGACAACCGTAATTATTCCAAACATTGACTGGTAACGTACTAAGTTAATACTCATATATGGAGTACAAAACTCATTCTATAAATACCCTTACCTGTGTTCTAAGTTTGATCATATCCGCTTCCACCTGTGAATTTGATTCATTTAAATCTTTAATGTCTTCATCCAGCTGTTTAACATCTGCGTCACAGTCTAAACCTGGAGTGAGAACAGACAAACCCAATTTATAGCAGAAAAAGAATACATACCTGCACATAAAAACACTGTTTTGTTTTACTGCATGCTAACTAATTGTGCTCGCATAAACTCTCAGTTGGTTTGAATTATTTCCAAGCATTAAAAACCATGATATGTATAACTGGTATCATTACAGCCATGCAGAGTCTGTCATCAGCTGCATTTCTTAATTAAAGTGAAAAATCTTGGTGACTGGTGACTGAGCTCTACATTGTAATGTGAGACTTTAAACTTTTTTTTTCTTTTACCATTGCTTGTTTGCTGTTTTATTGTGAGCATCTCCACTCCTGATAGTCTGGCTTTCTTCATTGCTGCCGTGGCACGTGGGCAACCAGAGAGACTGCAAAAATAAGAGAGCATGAAATATGGATTATTAACACTTTTGATATCTAAAAAGATAGTATACAATATTTTTATTCAGCAAGAACACATTTAATTTTGACAGTAAAAGTATACTTTTATAATGTTACAAAATATTTCCATTTCAAATAAATGCTGTTCTTTTGAACTTTCCATTCATTAAATAATCCTTAACAAAAATTCATTACAAATATATTAAGAAGCAAAAACAGTTATTTTAAATTGTAATAATATTTCACAATATTACTGTTTTCTGTATTTCAATCATGACAACTCTCGGAACATTTTAGCATGGTGATGGATATGACAACGTTAATGTATTTGGTCTTGGCGGAACAGATCATCTAATAAATGCAGCCTTGATGAGGACAAGAGATGTCTTTCAAAAACATTAAAAACTCTTACCGACATCAAAACTTTGAAAAATATTCTTTGCAGAAGTTGATAACTGTTTTAATCACTATACAATATGTTAATGCACCTGCTACAGCACTGACACAGCACCAGAGGGCACTCTCACCTAAATATTGGCTAGTGCTGTTTAGAATAGCATACTATCATACTTCTCTTAGGTCTATCTGCAGTATGCATACTGTTCACTTGCACAGTATGCATTTTCTGTATGCATGGAATACTCAAACAAAAATAGTATAGTACACATTATATGTTGTATACTATGTAGTATGCTAAATAAAAATAGTATGCACAGCAACACAGTATGCAGTACACTAGTATTCCATTCTCAACACACCCCTGAAAGCATTGCTACCATCAGTTCATGATTTTCTGTTGGTCTTGTTCTTGTTTGAAAAGTAGATTCCCATGGGCTAATCATAAAGTCTACTGCTTTTTGTGACATGAAAGAAATGAATGAATAAGCCTACCTTTTCAGATATATTTAACTGGGATTTGTTTTTTCTATTTGACTTAACTACATTCAAAATTAATGATTTGTTTTTGTTTAACCTTCTGTGGGTCAGGAAACTGCCGCTGACATGTCCAGAGCCGTCACAGCCTGGAGTGGGACACGACATGCCATCCGTCTTCCCAGCCTTCCATGTGAACTGGGATCCATTGATATAGCTGTCCTTCTGTCGTTTGGCCGCTAGAGGGCAGCCTGACGCGCTGCGGTGTGACGCATATTTGCCCGTTATGTGACCCTGACCGTCACAACCAGGGACTGGACACCTGAAAACATAAACATAATCTGTACTGGGATCACTTTCATACAAAATACAAAACTAAAATATCACTGCTTAGCGCCACCTAGCAGAAGCTGGTTTATGGTACCCTCAATATATTTCAATATAACTTTTTGCCTTCTTATATTGTCTAGCAAAGGGAACGTGTCACTTTTGTGTCCTAAAAGAGCATTTTACACCTGAATAGTGCATTTGACTACCTAAGTACTTCCTGAGGTTAACCTAATTGTAACCCAAGTTATAGTTTTATGTTAATACTTGTATTTTTAGTAACTAACATTAACAAAGATGTATAAATACTATAGAAAAAAAATATTGCTCAATGTTAGTTAATGGTTAGATAATGCATTAACTAATGGAACTTTACTGTGAAGTGTTACCTACTATTATTGCCTACTTTACCTACTCTTATCTTTAACTTGATCTTTAAATTGATTTTTAAAATTAAATTTTTTGATATTAATTTTAAATATTTGTTTCTGTTGAACATTTGCTGTGAATGTAGTCTATTAAATGGAGTTGGTAAGCACTACATTAAATATTGACATCCAGGAATGGAAATAATTATGGTTTTGATGTCACTTCATAGCAGAGGTGAATGTAGAAGAAGTTATTGCTTTTTAAAGGCAGTGAGTCGGTACCTGATCGGCTCCTGGTCTTCCTTGTCCTCTTTACTGTGTGTTATCTTTATTCCAGTCTTCCGAGCCCGTGGACATCCTGACAAACTGAGGAAAAACTGTCGTTACCTCAGCCATTATGAAAATGAAGTACATTTTAGCCTACTTAAAAAAAAGAGTACACTCTAAAAAATGCTGGGTTAAAAAGGGACAAACCCAGCTATTGGGTTGTTTTGACCCAGCGGTTGGGTTGTATTGAACCAGCGGTTGGGTCAAAACAACCCAATAGCTGGGTTTGTCCCTTTTTAACACAGCACTGGGTTATATTTAACCCAGCATTTTTTTAGAGTGTACTTATTATGGAAATAAGGTACTTCAAAAGTGAGAACTAAATGCAAGGTTTTCAGACACTTAACTTCATGTTGTTTACAATTTAATAAAAATGTATTATGGTTTTAACTTATAATAAATGCATTTAGCTGAACTTTTGAGTGTTTTTGACCCACTTAAGCACATTTTTATATGTAATTTTATAATTATTGTCTTATGGTTAAAGCAAACTGCTGAATGTACTGACAAACATTTATGGTAAACTAAAATATACTTTAATGTAAGTTCTATTGAAACTCGTATTTAAATCTATTTGCAATTACACATTTGTATTGCCAAAGTTGTGATTTAGTACATTTAAAATATATTAACTTTAAATGCAATATCAAATAAAACTACAGTTTAAATTATAATCAAATATTTTACATGTGCTTTAATATGTTAGTGTCACGAATCCTGTCCATGGATTTCCGTCCGCTTGCCACCAGAGGTCGCCCTCCCATTATATTGACTTTCACATTACACAGATTGTTGCATGTCACTCTGGGCTACATTTCCCATCACCACTGCACTGATTAAACACACAGCTGCAACCAATCAAACACCCTACATAAACCATGGACTTCCTCTTCCTCATCACCGAGTATTGTAAGAGCATATCGCATGTTAGCTACTTTACGAAGCCGTCCTAGTTTCCCTGTCATAGTCCTAGTTCATAGTCGAGTCTTGTATTTGCCGGTCTTTCCTGTGTCTTGATCCTTGTCTGGTTATCTTGTTCTGTCTGTTCTCTGCATGCCCTGGATTGTTTGCCTGTTTTGGATTACCCCTCTCGTCTCGCCCTGTTCGGATACTGTTTACCCCTCGCCTGTGTTTCGGATTGCCCCTTTGGATTACCCTGTTTGGATATTGTTCGCCGGAGATCGACCATGCCTGTCTACCGAACTACTCCTTTTGTCTTGCCCCAATATACCTGTCCTCCATTGTCTGACCCTTGCCTGTTTATAACCACGTCTTTTAATAAAAGCTTTGCACATGGATCCGCACGTCTCTTGTCTCTGTCGGCCCGTAACAGTTAGCCAACACATCAAAATAAGTGTACTTATTTGCTTTTACATGTATTCTGAAGTAAAACTTTTAATTTAATTTAATAAAATTTTTAATTTACACTCTTACGTCTTGTTTAGACACTGTCTGCCCCTTGTCTTCCAGGCCAGCTCGTACCACCTCTTCTGCCCCTTGGCTATCTGATGTTCTCTGTGAGTATCGTTCTAAGCTCAGAGCTGCAGAAAGAGTATGGTGCAAATTACAAAATCCTACTGACCTTAATGTATATCGATCACTCCTCTCTTCCTTCTCTGCTAATGCCTCCACTGCTGAAAGGACATACTATCACAACAAAATTGTGAAATTGCCTAACTCTCGCATGCTCTTTAAAACATTTTCCTCCCTCTCCTTCATCAACTCTAACAGCTGACGACTTTGCCACATTCTTCATTAATAAAATTACAAACCTCAGTGCACAATTTGCCACACCACAAACTGTCAAACACATCTTACCAGCAAACATACACTCGTTTTCGAACACCTTCTATTCTATTTTAATTCTACTTTATCTATATTTATCTTTTTTTTTTTTTTTTAATTCTTTATTTAAATAAAACAACAAAAAACAAACACTAGCTGTCTATTTTTTCTATTCTATCTACTTGTTTTTCATTGTTTGTGTGTGTGTGTATATTTGTGTGTGTGTATAATATATATATATATATATATATATATACACACACACACCTTGCTACGTGTACTGCGTTAGGCTAACCGAGACTTGTCATTTGCACTTATATATTGTTGCTCTTTTGTTAGTTTTGACTGCTTTTATTGTCCTCATTTGTAATTCGCTTTGGATAAAAGCGTCTGCTAAATGACTAAATGTAAATGTAAATGTAAATTTGAAATTTTTGCAAAGTGAACCTTTACATTTATTTGCATAGTCATGAAAGTGAACTCTCATTAGTACACTTACAGTAATTGGCTTTTTTATTTCATTAATATTATATTATCTGCAAACACTTTTTTTTAAACAAAGGTCTGTGTGCACATTACCTTCTGTGTGAAGCATAGTTGCCAGTGATATGTCCCGAGCCGTCACAGCCCGGGGTCGGGCACCTGGGACAGAAATACACACTGTTACTGCCCAGCATGCAAAAGAGCAGCCCTGATACAAACACACTTATGTAGCATCTTCAGAAAAATCAATATTACCTCACACAACAGCCTTTCCACACACCTTCCAAATAAAAGTCTTCATGATTTGTTAAATAAAGGTAAAGCTCTTTGAAATGTAGGAAAGAAACTCCATAGCCTGAGGCAGTGCATTCATTACATTCACAATACAATAAAAAGTGTTCAATAATCCCATACAAAACTGCTGTAAGCTTCTTTAAACTAATTGTATTATTTGACTACTATTATTATTTGTTATATTACTTCTGTCTCATTTGCCCTGTTTTGTGTTTAAGGATGTTTATGTTTAAGTGTACTTTCTTTTTACAAGGGAAGCTCAATAGTTCAACTCTGTTGTGGGGATAAAAACAACAGTTATCAGTTTTGTTAAATTGTTATTGCTATTATTATTATTTTTGTGTGGCACATTCTTTTTTTTCATAATACAAAATGTATTCCCTGTAAAAATTATGGTGTGACGCGATGATATGTGTCAACTAAGGCAATTATTATCCATTTAACAGGGCTGGAACAACATGTTTTTTTAAAAGGAAAAAAAAAAGTCAAATTTCAAACTTACTGTGACTCACTGTCTCTGTTGAGAAAAATATCAAGCACGGTAGACATGATGCATAACTATTGGCGCTTAGTATCACATAATGATTAAAGTAATATTTAAAGAATAAACTATTGATAAACTCATATTTGTTGATCACTAATCTGAATTTTTGGTTCATTTCCCTGTTGTTGTATCTTATTATCTATGGTAGCTATGGACCTGTTGCTTTAGGTCTGAAGTGGGATAACATTATTTTTTTGAAAACAACAGTTTGATCCTTACTTGAGTTCTTGTGAGTTGGTGGCCATCATACTCCGAATGCTTTTATCTGCTAAAGGACAGCCTGAAAGACTAAAAGATTTCATACGCAGATGTCAGTGAAACAAAACGGTGGTCGGACTTGCTACTAATACTAAACAACAAACACATACAGACATAATCCACTCAGAAAACACTGCAAATGCAATAAAGCCATGGTGTAAGTGTGAGGTTTGCTCTATATTTTAACCCTCTGAATAGCAAAACATTTTTGCTTGAAATTAGCACTTATCCCTGGTGAAATATTCAAAGGGTTAACATGGAGAGGCAGTCTCTAAAAATTTTTCCGACAGCATAGTTGAAGTAAGCTGAAAACAATAAATTCATTGGACTGAATCCACCATTAGAAAATGGAGTCACACCTTCTATGCGAGGCATAATTACCGGTTACGTGACCACTCCCATCACACCCTGGTGTTGGACATCTGTCTCCAGAAAAAATAGACAGAATGAAAGGCCAAAATCCAAAACATAATAAAAGGAAACAAAATATTATATTACCAAATGTAAAAGAAAAATCCTGGTAAAAAGTGGCAACACTTCAATCGAGTCCCCACATGAGCATTACAACACCTCTGTGTGCATTACTGGGGTACATGTAGAAACCTTAAAGGGGTCATATGATGCTGCCAAAAATAACATTATTTTGTGTATTTGGTGTACTGAAATGTGTTTATGCGGTTTAAGGTTCAAAAAACACATTATTTTCCATGTACTGTACATTATTGTTTCTCCTCTATGCCCCGCCTTTCTGAAACGCGTAAATTTTTACAAAGCTCATCGGTCTGAAAAAGCGAGGTGTGCTCTGATTGGCCAGCTATCCAGTGCATTGTGATTGGCCTACGGCAACCACATGTGACGACCCCGGGCTGGACTCTGCTGATTCGTCCACGGTGAAAGCCGATCCGGCAATCGACAGCGCGAAGTTGAAGTATTTCCTCAGCGACCAGCACGGATCAGCTCCAGGCATGACGAAGCGGATATCGTCCTCTTTTGGAAGGCCAAACAAAGTAGTTTCGCTTTCACAACGAAACACACAGCGCCTTCACGACATGGCGGCGGAAACAACAATACTACAGCGAGAATAAAAGTTACGCCTTCTTTCTTTGCGTGAAGTTGTGGGAAGATGTGGGGGCGTGTTAGAACGAGCCGTTTTAGGAGGGCGTGGCTGGCTCTTAACTTTTATAAAGAATATCTCTTTGGATTTGAGACTTTAGTCTTTGCAACTTTACAGATCTTCTTTATGCACCAAGAGCTTGCAACTCTCCAAATAGAAAGGACCAATTGAAATCGCATCATATGACCCCTTTAATAGACCTGAAATGTTGTTATTAGGGCTGCCAGTTGGTTTACATTTTCTATCAGATTAACTATATGATATGTTGATTAATTAATCAAATTAATCACAATTCCTGCAGATTCACCAAAACATGAATGTGCTATACTACAAGCGTGCTCCAATAATGGGAAAAATCTTTACTGCGATATAAGTAACATTCAACCACAATAAGGAAGCTGTCGCATTTTAGTAATTCTAAAAGCTACTTGCAGAAATTAAAGCCATATAGCCTATATTTCTCTACATTGTTGCCTAAATGACTGGTAATTTAAGTTGGGAAAATCAAATCAGGCTTTGACAAATGGCCATTTTTTATTAATTTTTTTAAAGACAACTGAATCATATCTTCATTGATGCTTTTTGAGAAGTGTTTACTCTTGCTTACAACAAAAAAAAATAATTTAACTTGATTTGATGCATTATTAAATGCACTCCTTTTTAATTTGTTTATCTTTAAATCATTAAATTAATCTGTTAAATTGACAGCCCTAATTCAATTACCTTTTTGGTCCAGTAACAGCCTATGCATTGGTGCCTAGTTGAACCTGAACTCTGATTGGTTGTTAACGCAAAGTGTTGCCCAAATATCTATGATGTTGTTTTTATCATTTTTGTTTCTAGTTCATTGTTTCCAGTTTAGCTTCACTGTCTGCAAGAGTGTGCGAGTCCTAAATCACATCACATCCTAGAGAGAAGATGAGCAATGGACGGCTCGAATGAAATTCTTTTTTAAATCGATAAAGCATTCAAAAAATAAGTGTACTCGACTCTACGTTTATGTTCGATCATGTGGCATGCAGTAGTGCTGAGCTCTAAAGCTGAGAGCAAGAGAAGATAAAGAGGAGAAGAGGAACAGGAAGAGTTGCGGAGGGTGATCACATCATTCCCCCGTGGTGCTTACGTTATCAGGTCCTTTTTGCTTTCTTTGCAAGGAGGAAATTTTGGTTTGGGATTGGGAATGCCGACATCAGTAGTGTACGCGCTGTCCTCTAAAATGTCCTGGAAGGGATCCAGATCATCAGACTGTAACAACAAAGCCAGAAAGAAAGAGAAAGAGACCTGTTAGTATTTAGTTTTTTTCACTAAAATCTCTTGCATTAGAAAATAATTTTGAACCACTTCATATCATTTTTAGTGTCAATTCAAATTGTTTTGATACATGTTTCAAACCCTGAGGATTTCCAATGATCTCCAAATGATGGTGAAATATTATTACAATATAAAACAACTGTTTTTTATTTTAATGCATTTTAAAATGTGTTTTATTCCCTTGATGCGCAGCTGTATTTTCAGCATCATTACTCCAGTCTTCAGTGTCACATGATCTTCAGAAATCATTCTAATATGCTGATTTGCTGCTCGAGAAACATTTCTGATTATTATCATTGTTGAAAACACTTATGCTGCTTCAATTTTTTTTCAGGATTTTTTGATTAATAGAAAAGAACAGCATTTATTTCAAACAGAAATCTTTTGTAACATTATACATGTCTTTTCCGTCATTTTTGATTAATTTAATGCACCCTTGCTGAATAAATGTATGTATGTTTATGTGAAATGCAACAGATGCTATGATAAAAATTTACAATATTGTTTACAATAATGTATTATTATTATGATACATTGTTGTCATGTGACCTCATCATACTGCTTATTTATTTGAAGAATCACCATCCAGTTATCAGTAACAGAAACTGGTTTTCCATGAGAAAGTTGTCTGCCATGTCTTAAATTGTGGATGTCTTGACAAAGAATGAACCCCAGCTGATGTTTCTCATCCAGTTCATTTGTCACATTGAAAAAAGAAGGTGAAACTGAGTGCTTTGCACTGTGGGATTCAGTATTTCACACAGTTTTCTTTGTTGTAAGGTACTCATTATGATGTAGGTCATCCTGGTATTTCATCCATAAAGAAAATGTGCTCACTGCAGAAATAGGGCCGTATACAGATTTCCTGAAAGAATTTGCAGATTTCCTCTCAGACCTATTGGTTACTGTTGATAAAGCGCTAATTGTCGGAGATTTTAACATTCACGTTGATAATACAAATGATGCATTAGGACTTGCGTTTACTGACCTAATAAACTCTTTTGGAGTCAAGCAAAATGTCACTCGTCGTTTTAATCATACGCTAGATTTAATTATATCGCATAGAATCGATCTTACTGATACAGATATCGTACCTCAAAGTGATGATGTTACTGACCATTTCCTTGTATCGTGCATGCTGCGTATTACTGATATTAACTATATCGCTCCGCGTTATCGTCTGGGCAGAACTATTGTTCCAGCCACCAAAGACAGATTCACAAATAACCTGCCTGATTTATCTCAACTGCTCTGTGTACCCATAAGTACACATGAACTAGACGAAATGACTAGCAACATGGGCACTATCTTCTCTAATACATTAGAAGCTGTTGCCCCCATCAAATTGAAAAATGTTAGAGAAAAACGTACTGCGCCATGGTACAACAGTAATACCCATTCTCTCAAGAAAAAAACTTGTAGTCTTTGAGCGCAAATGGAGTAAAACTAACTTGGAAGTTTTTAGAATTGCGTGGAAAAACGGTATGTCCAGCTATAGACAGGCTCTAAAAGCTGCCAGGGCCGAGCATATCCACAAACTTATAGAAAATAACCAAAACAATCCAAGGTTTTTATTTAGCACAGTGGCTAGATTAACAAATAACCAGACGCCACCCGATCTAAATATTCCCTCACAGTTTAATAGTAATGTCTTTATGAATTTCTTCACTGATAAAATAGATAACATCAGAAATACAATAACAAATGTAGATTCTACAGCGTATAATACTTCAGCTTCATTCATCGCACCCAAAGATAAACTGCAGTGCTTTACAACTATAGGACAGGAAGAGCTAAATAAACTTATCACTGCATCTAAACCAACAACATGCCTGTTAGATCCAGTTAGAATCATGCTAGTAACATACTAATCATGCTAAAATCATGCTAGCAACATGCTAGTAACTTGCTAATCATGTTAACAACATGCTAGTAAACTTGCTAATCGTGCTAACAACATGCTAGTAAAATGCTAATCATGCTAGAAATGTGCTAGTAACATGCTAGCAACATGCTATCAACTTGCTAATCATGTTAAGAACATGCTAATAACTTGCTAATCATGCTAACAACATCTTAAACATGATAGAAACATGTTAACAACATGTTAGTAACATGTTAATCATGCTAGTAACATGCTAATCATGCTAGAAACATGTTAACAACATGATAGTAACATGCCAATCGTGCTAGAATCATGCTAGTAACTTGCTAATCATGCTAACATCATGTTAATAACACGTTAATCATGCTAGAATCATGCTAGCAACATGCTAACCATGCTTGTAATATGTTAATCATGCTATAAACATGCTAATCATGTTAGAAACATGCTTGCAAAACGCTAGTAACATGCTAATAATGCTAGAATCATGCTATCAACTTGTTAACCATGCTAGTAACATGCTAGTAACTTGTTAATCATGCTAGAATCATGCTAGTAGCATGCTAATAATGCTAGAATCATGATAGTAACTTGTTATCCATGCTAGTAACTTGCTAGTCATGCTAGCAACATGATAGTAACATGCTAATATTGCTAGAAACATGCTAGCAACAGACTAGATATCAGCATACTGTAGTGCATTAAGAAAAAAAAATACAAAGACATTTAAACTTACACGGTTAAGCAGCCAAAACATTTCCAAACTCAAAAATGTATAGCTGTGTAAGTTCATTTTAATCTGTCGGTTCCCAAATGTAGTTTTAAGAGTTTTTTTAGGCAAGAATGTACTTTAGACTGCGGTTTGTTAATAAAAATAACGTCTATTTAAAGGGCACCTATTATGCAAAAAACCCTTTTGCATGGTGTTTGGACATAAATGTGTGTTGGCAGTGTGTGAACACAGCCACCCTACAATGATACAAATCCACCCACTCCTTATTTTTTAATCCCCATTAAACCAAAGCAGTCTCAGTAGGCATGCCATTTTGATTCTCAAAGCAATATGACATCACATGGCCGTTGACCGGCAGTCCTGCATTGCCATAGTTTCCGCCCTCAGCGAGTTGTGTTGGTTGTATGCTGTCCTCGAATTTCTCTGCACCCAAGCTGCTGTAACGTCAACAATTGTCTGTAAGCAATCCCGGTGTTCTGTGTTTGGTTTGTAAGACTGAACATAAGAGTCTTCATTTTCTCCCAACATCTGAGCTGCTGAGGACACAGTGGATTACTTCTATTTTTGAAGGTAATGCGCCTCAAAATCTGCCTAACAAATTATTTCACTCCAGACTGCTTTGTGAATGTAATATCGTTCTAGTGCTTATAACGTTTTAACCTTCTTTGTGTGCATATGTTATTGAAGTATTTTAAGTATGTTCGTGAGCTCATTGTAACATTGCACAGCTTCGTCCCACTTTCAGAGTGTTTGACTTCCCATATGTACGGCTGAACACCGGTTCTCTTGCTCTCAGTCATGTTGCATCTACTGGCAGTTTATTGCAGTAGGTATGCAATGCAGAGCTGTGTATGCTATGCCCTCTTCTAAAGGGAATATGCAGCTCATTTTCATTGACTAGATATCAGCATACTGTAGTGCATTAAGAAAAAAAAATACAAAGACATTTAAACTTACACGGTTAAGCAGCCAAAACATTTCCAAACTCAAAAATGTATAGCTGTGTAAGTTCATTTTAATCTGTCGGTTTGTCTCCTATCTATCTATCTATCTTATATTGCCTTCAAAACATTCAAACTTTAAACTGTAGAACTACTTAGTGGATTACTTCTATTTTTGAAGGTAATGCGCCTCAAAATCTGCCTAACAAATTATTTCACTCCAGACTGCTTTGTGAATGTAATATCGTTCTAGTGCTTATAACGTTTTAACCTTCTTTGTGTGCATATGTTATTGAAGTATTTTAAGTATGTTCGTGAGCTCATTGTAACATTGCACAGCTTCGTCCCACTTTCAGAGTGTTTGACTTCCCATATGTACGGCTGAACACCGGTTCTCTTGCTCTCAGTCATGTTGCATCTACTGGCAGTTTATTGCAGTAGGTATGCAATGCAGAGCTGTGTATGCTATGCCCTCTTCTAAAGGGAATATGCAGCTCATTTTCATTTTAAGTGATACACACCAAAACAGCTCTTTTTTTAGACACGCCCAAAAAATTCAATTTTCCATTTGTTATAATAAATTATCTGTGGGATATTTTGAACTGAAACTTCACAGACACATTCTGGGGACACCCAAGACCAATATTACATCTTGTAAAAAGGGGCATAATAAGTGCCCTTTAAAAAATTTGCTTTGGTGCTTTTGGAGATGTGAGCTCCAGGGCATCAGTGGTCGTTCAGTGCTCATGAACCCGCCGAGAGCAGCCTCACCTCGGCCAGATCTTCTGGACTTTGCAGCTGGCTCTGATGTCTCTATAGTGGTTAAACATATAATTATATGTTATATAATTTGTTTTGGGTAAATCTCGTGGCAGTCTTTGGTCTCATTAATCTATCTATTATTGTTCCAGAGCAAATCGTTTTGGCTGAGGGCAAATTTTCATAACTTCATATATAACTTTAATGCTGCATCAGAGTGTTGCCTTTGTACTCTTGACTGAATTGCATAACAACGTTTATAACGGCCTTTCTGTTTATTAAATATTATTGTTCAATGAATAATATTTGATATAAATAATAGTGGTATTAAATAATAGTATTTGGTATTGCGAAACAGTCTTAGTGTTAGTGATGGTGATTTTGGTTACATTGTTACACGATTAGATGGTGACGAGACTCTTCATGAGTCAGTAGCAAAGACTTTTTTATTGAAAGGGAGCGAAATAAGGTTTTAAACAAGGAGATTATTTTTACTTTCAACAACACCTAATAAGGTGCAACCAACAAATGGGTCTTTTAAGACAAGCCATTATTGTTTCTTATTTATTTACACACTTGTGCTGCCAAGCTGCTGTATAAATGCAATATCACACTC